TATTACGCAACCACGTATGCAGGATGCGTGGTGCCAGACTTTTTGTGCTCCTGTGCTTTTGCCGCGATTTCTGCTTCACTTGGAGGCGCTGACTGCATTCTGAAGTAAAAACTCTCTTTGGCCACAGACCATAAGATATCGCAAAATATGACGCAATTTTTCGTTACACGCCATGAATGTGTCACTATAGCTTGATCGACAAGTGAATGATTGCAAACACTGCGATAAACGAAAAATGAAAAAACGAAGATGTCGATCGCAAAGGTAAAATTATGGTTGACAGTTCAAATATTATAATTTCAGGAAAACGAGAAAACATGGAAAAAAAGATTTCCACTGACCGCAACTTCTTATTCGGGAAGACGCCTTCATCGTTCTCGACCGCTTGCTTAGTATCAAACGAACGTCGCCATTGCTCGGGGGATACAATCAGCGGCATTTTCCAAGCAACTAAGAAAAACAATGTTAATGATATAAACTTTAGGCACCTCAAATTAAAAAAACAATTCGAGGTTTAGTAATTTATTTATTTTATTTACAATTACTTACAATTATTTTATTTAACTTCGTATAGCATAAACTTCGATTTATTTTTATTATGGACGACCGCCGGCCCGATGGTCAGACTTCTTCACGAAAGCTCTGAACGAAAGGAATGAATGGACTTCGTGTCCCTCGAGCAAGGAGGATCCACTGGACCACTCTAGCACGCGACAGGGACGAATGGAGACGTTGCTGGCGCCCGCTCGAGCAAATCGACGATCAACGGGACGACAGGTGATACAGGTGATGATTTATTTTATCCAATTATTTACAATTGGAGTTCCTGAATATTTATTACAAACGACTCAAAAACGTTTACAAGAAGGATGCAAAGTGAGTAAATAAATAAAAAATAAAGCAAAGTAAATAGATGGAAACATAATGCACAACAAAGTTCTTAGATGAATAAAAAAATAAAAGCACAAAAAATATAATAAATGATGCAAAAGTATATTGCTGTTGTACACTAATCAGCATGAGAGGGAAAGAACCATACTAATATTTAACCGCGTTGTTGAAGATAAATATGTATGCTCTCAGAAAAACTCACGAAGAAGCTGCTTGAACTGATCGTTAATCATTTCCAATGCATACGGACCCGGCGAGACCCCATCACATGGCTGACCAAGCTGAAACAGAAAACTAATTTAACATCAAAAAATAATAAAGCCGACACAAGCTCTCTGAGGGAACAAACCTGATAACGTTGATTATCAGCTTCCACCCTTTGACCAGCATAGTTGTCAGCCAGCCACTGATAATTAACCACCTGGATATCCCATTCACGAGCCTTTTCTCGACTTTTTCAACGCCACCGCTGTAAAACATGGAAGTATAGAATTCGAAAATGAACGATATTATTCATCACCACCACTACAATAACATGACTAAATAAATTGATGGCTGAACGTAAGAATTGGTCAAGTGAAGTCCAACAGGAGGCGCAAGAATGACGCTAAAAAAACCTTCCAATCTATAGGAAAACCGACCATCAGCAGTAAATATTGAATATCACAATATAGAAAAAAGATTAGATAAATGAGATGAAATCGTTAAACAACTAACGTCTTAGCAATATAGAATATTATTGTGACGGCTAAGGTACGGGGTGTGAACCTCGCTCCCATGGCCTCCACCATGAACTTCATCGCGGCCCGTTCACTTTCGTCGAAGCCAGAAAACGAAATCAACTGAAAAGCCGTCTTCTCAGATCAATTTTCAAACTTTGAGATTCTACCTCAAGGGGCTGTAGAAATGGAGCGGCTCTAAGGTGAGCGAATGGGAAAATGACGAAGTATAAGTTAGAAACCATTTTTAACACGTTGACGACAAGTTGACGCGCATGCGCGTCAAGTATTTCGCACCGCATCGGACATCCTGACGCGCAAGCGCGTCAAGTCTGTGTTATTCATTTTTATCGTGCTTGCGCTCCTTCTTCTCGGGTTTCTTGTATTCATTCTATAGATAATACATTAGCATAACTATAAACCGCCTGGCAGCCAGAGTGGTCAAGTATCCTATGATTTAGCAAAAATTTTCCGAACGCACAAAACTTTCATTTCAATTCTTTCCTAGTATTCCTTTCACTGTCGTTAACATTTATATGAAAGATTGTAGAATTAGTTAATACAAAACTCTGTGAGTTTCAATATATTTGCATTTGATGGAAATACTTAGATATAAATGCTTTTAATTTCATTCGCAGCGAAAGCGTGTTTTTTACTTCTTCGTGGTCATTATGCACTCTTCTAAACAAAAACCTACTGCTACTTATATAGTTAACCTTTATACGTTCATCCTTGCCGAAATAGTCCTATGAAATTCAAGTTATTGTGCATTTTTAACAAAAAATAAGCGGAAGTAAGGTGAGGACGGCGCGGTCGCAAAATCGCTCCTGTCCCACGAGGTGCAAAATGCCAAAACATGCGATGTCGTCAACGTGTTAACCAACGGACCTTCCCTAGTAGCGGTCTGCAGCCATCAGTGAACACCGACGGTAAATGTGCATGCCGCCACGGCACATCCATTTGCTTCTTCATAAGCACATCCACCAACCACTGCATTGTCACCAGACGTTTGCGATCTTTCAGGGCCTAGAAACAATTTGGCCTATTGGGAAGGTAGCTAGTGAAATGGCAATGAAAATCACAGTTGAAAGCATTGCATAACATAAAAAGAAAATACAGTAACGTAATAAGTTATTACGAGTTGAAAGCACTGCACAACATAAAAAGGAAAAATACAGTAAGCAGCGCACCAGATGGGCGTGTTGGGTCCTTATAGACTCGACAATGACGTGCGTAATCGCCCCGGCTCGTTCCGCATAGGCCTTTGCTCCAAATTCTATATCCCCGCCGTGCATTCGGATTGCCAACACAATATTTGGTAGGTCCAGTTTATCCGTGAACATGCGATCCATATCGAACATATGCAATACACAGCCCGCCAAGCAAATATCCGGATGAACTGAAATACCACAGCTTTTCTTGAAAGGAAACTTTTCCAAGTGAGCTAGCTTTCCTTATGAGAAATAGCGGTCTTGCTTTCCAACGGCTCAGTTTGGCAGCACAACTACAAATCAAATGGAACAGAATCAATGACCGGGAAGAAGCCTACCATTCATAAGAAGATTCGGTTCATACGTGAAGAAAGAACTGGCTAGGAATCACCGGTTGTTGCGGGGTTGGAACCATACGGATTGGTTGTGTGACCATTTCGCCTGAAAAAAAGGAAACTTAACTCAGAAAAAAAAAATAAAGAGAGAGAGAATGGAAAACTTCGAGCCATCTTGGTGCTCATGGTGGCTAGATTTGAAGCCACGTAATTCTCTGAGATATGACTATTCACCGCGCTGAAAACGAACATGAAATAGATGAGTCTCATAATACTTCCACCCATAATACTACCCCCCCCCCCTTCCCTCTCCCCCCCTGCCAACCCAATGCTTTGAGCTGGTGTAAAATGAGATTCGCAAAAGGAAAAACATTGACGAACCAAAACATTGTTGCGCTTTAAATACTAAAAAACAATCGGCGTTTGATCTGATCCCTTTTTTGGGGGATGCGCACAGCAGCCTACTAGTACAAAACTGTAGAGGGCGTTTGCATGCGGCTTAGTATACACGATAAACTGCGTGGCCAGCTCATGCACAAGTTGAAATTTTCAACCTTCTACATGAACCTGGCACCAAACAGAAGATTCTGGAAAAGGGTAGACTTGGTTGGCCTGTTCGATCCGTTATTTCACCAGCAGTAAGTGACACTACTTGCCGCCACATCAACTCCGCCATTTTGTTCATAATTTTGTGAACACTGAGTCATAAGTCAGGCAGAAAAGTGGACGGCTAATTACCGTCGTGAGAAAACGAAATGAAGAAGATGGGATTTTCGCAGAGGATGTTAGCATTTCCAATGCTGAGATGATCACAGCTCGGCTTTTTTCAGTATCTACTCTTTATTTGCAAAAAAGCTCTCGAAGATTCATTCAGCACACGTACCATTGCTCACTGGACGTGGCATGGCTGCCTGGGGCGCCATTGGTGCTTGTGTTGGCGACATCAACGGTGGTGACCTCATGTCAGCCGCGTAGTGGGGTGATGCCGTCGGCTGAGAAAATCGCGATCCTGTAATGAAATTATAATATTATATGATTGACAAAGATCAGTTGTTTTGGAATTTTGAGAAGAAAACAAAGAATTTCAATTCCAAAAAGCACACATTAAAGTGGATGATCGCAATTGTAACACTCCAGAGGATGTTCTTGGGAAAGAATCTCACCCAAAGAGAGCGAGCTTCTCATTCTCTTGAGGTTGGCTTATTGGCGCCAGACAGAATCGAATTAAAATTGATCTGCATATAGGCTGACTCCCGCTGAATTCATTACAGCGGCAAGACAGCATTCAAATATTACTACGTCCAAGAATGGCAGCCTAGTACATGGCGCATGCCAGGACTGAACTGATCAAAGGCGATCACTCTGCATTTTAAGAGAAGAGGTATGTGGGATGGAACCACTGAACATGGAACGCCACAACGCCGCCAACACTCTGTTGAATGCTTCCGAGTTTGTCTAGAATGAGGAAGATGACATTTGCATAGCGCTTTTTGTTTAGCTATTCTCTTTCATACGTGACCCTCCGCGTCCTCAAATGATTAATGCATCACTCGATTCTCTCATGCCGCCGAATCTTCTTTCCTTTGCATGCTCAGTAACCTAAAAACCATGTGAAAACCTAGAATTGGAAGAAGCTACGCCTCACTTAAACGTGCGCATATTATAAAAAACGCATATTTTAGTCCAACGTTTCGCAAACGTCTCCATGACTGGTCGAGGGAACCAGGGAGGACTTTGCAACAATGGTAGATTTGCTGAAATCCGTAGAGATTAAAAAATGCAGGGCCAATTAGGACCGCAGGATATGGTGTTGAGGTGATTTCGGACCAGTCAATAAAAAGTTGCAAAGGCAAAAAATGCTCTGCATAAAGATATTGTGATTGTTGTTTTTAGACTGGTACTTGCAAACGAGGATGCTAATAAGTTCCGTGCCCGTATGAGACGGAGAAGCCGACAACAAGAGGGAGCGAGAAAGGAATGAGGAATGAGAACGCAGTCACAAACGTGGTGTCAACTGCGGGAACGCCACTTGGTTCGGGCAAGGGCTTTTAGAGGGCGACACAGGCTCCTGTATGCATAGCGCCTTCATAACTTATAACATATCATTTTTTCCGTTTTCATGCGACTTCCACAGTCCCACAAACGGGCAAGATTGTACCGCTCAGGCAGTCGTGTAAGTTACTACAACGATTGGCCGTAAGAGAGACGGGGAAGACTATTTTTACCCTTTCGCTTTCGAAGACCAGATGCGCGTCGAGTACAGACCATACACCACAAGTGACGGCGATCTCCACGAAATGTAAATGTTTTGTGACAATGAAATTACTAATCGGTTGCGGTTGTGTTCTACAGTTGTTGCGAACTATAACTCTCATTCATCAACTATCAGCCGTCATCATGAATTACTTGTTACAAATTTACTTGAAGACTGTGTCGTCATAACTTACTTGGAAGACTGTCGGTCACTGTGGGTGTGGTCTGCACTCGAAGCCGCATCTGGTTGTTCGGGAAATCAAGGCGTAACCTAATACAGATTGAGAAGTCAGATAATTTCGCTGGAAACTAAAGGGTGAAACGTTGCTCAAAGGCGCTATAATGGAATTGTGAACGAAAATAATAATAGAGTGATGCAATCCCAGCAAAATTTAGGAAAAAAATCGAAAATCTCAGTTCTTCAAAAAGAGGGATCAGACAAGGTCTTGAAGCTTCTGATATTAAGACCAACTAAAAGTTGGAAAGGGCTAACACAGTCGATGAACGCTGGTGAAGAAAGAGGCCCGAATGTATTTAAGATTCAGAGCCACTCTAAATGCATAGCTTTTCTCTCAAAGAGGGCGATATGGGAAGAAAACGCGGAGGGCGTCAATTTCGTCGGGTAGTATTGAGCAATTGCCTTTCGGAATTAAAAAAGAAATCATCACGGGAAATGGGGAATTGCAGGCCTTAGCGTCTCAAATACAAAGGAACAGTGTGGAGCATATGTGAAAGAAACTAGTCAATTAGTGATTTATTTTTAAAGAGAGACTAACCAAATGTTGTGAAAAATTAAAAAATCTATTCATTATTCGAAAAAATTCGACTTGCCAAAAACAGGTAAATGCTTAGTTAAAACGGCCAGCTATGATTTTTGCATGCCGAATCACATTGTTAATTGCCAATTGTTAAAAACCTAGCAGGACGATACGTATAACTCCGTCAAGTGTCGGAGAATGAGGCGCTGCAAGTGACAATAACACGCGAAGGCTTAATTCCACTTAGGCACGCCATTCAATATGATCTAAAGCAAGGCTATCAAATGCTACACAGTAAAAGTTTGAGCTTTCGGCATACCCCTGTGATTTTTTCAGATGAGCCATGCATCTTGCTTCTATTCGGAATCACCGCAGGATTTGAATGTGAATTTACCTGTACAATGAGTGACTTGCAGGGTCAATTGATAAGTCAGTGTTTTGATCCTTCCAAACAAGTCTGATAGCAATCCCGAAGGGATGAAGAGCTCGGTTGATGGACAGCGTACAGTTCTTCGAGCTCTCTACCGCGCGCGTGGTAAGCGGCGCCACTTCTCGCTACACCACTTTCGTAGTCAACCACAAGGAAGGAATGGAATCTGCACACATTCAAGTTTCGCTGAGAATAATAGGCTATTTGAAAGAGCATTCGGTACATATGCTCGCCAAGAAGGTCCGAATAATATTGCGGACAGTGCTTCTGTCATTCCTCACGAGTCTGGCATTGTTGACCAGTTTTTCGGATGGAATCGATGGTTTTTGTTTCAAGGCTTATATTCCATGAAATGTCCAAGTGCTGGGAGCGAGTTATTTTTTTTTTATCAAACTTTTCTTCTCTTTCCAGGCTTTCTTCTGCCATTGAAAAACATCAGTAGCACATAAAAACAACAACGATCGATGTCAAAATATTTCAAAAACGTTCAGAAACCAGTAAACTGACCGTTAGGAGTATACGGCGGTTGTGGAGTTTGCGGAGTGTGAGGATGTGGAGCAGTGCCAGTAGCGTACACTGAAATTCACAAATTTTGAGTGGTCAGACCTCAAAAGAATCATCGTATAACCTAAAACGACCCATTGTAATTAACAACCTTACATATTCAGCATTGTTAACAAACCGATCAATCACGGCTGCCAAATGCCACCGAATTTCATAAATAAAATTCATACTCTTAAATCAAGGTACTTCGAATCTGGCAGCAGCAGTGGATCACAACGTGGGACTCATACGTTCCACACTTTCACACGGGGAGAACTCTTTTTGATTAAGTTGTACCTTACATATTTTCATTTATGTCCTGAACTAGACCGTGTGTGGTACTGGATTCAGGAAATAGTAACCCAATAATGAAATTGTTTAGTTAATTAGTCACTATTTTGATGAAAACCGAAATTCCACGCACCTGGTCTGTACGTTGCTGAATAAAGTTATTTATAGAAATAAATAAAAAAGAGGGTAGATACACAAAGGGTGCCGAAACGCGTAAATCGTTCATACTGATCAGGCCAAGCCTTGCGTCTGTTAGCAGTACTAGTTGTACTTCAACAATTGACCAGTCCAGCTCTGGCGCGCACTCTGGAGTAAGGAATTTCGCTAGTCTATAACAACTATTTCAGATGTGAAATTCAAACAAAACATCTCAACAGATACACAATTTCCCTGTGATCCTTTCACACCACTATGGCCAAGCCATGAATGAACAAAAATAGGAATAAAAACACACAAAAATTCACAATGGGGTTGTGCTTGGTGCTCCAGTATCGCACTGAATGAGATATAGAAATTACGAAATATTTTCGCAATCAATTTTTCTTGCACATTTTTCGGAGCGCAATTTATTCAGTGCAGAGACGCATAAAGAAATTCATTTATGTGGGTGACGTGCTTATTCCTATTCTAGAACAATTAAATGATTATATCAAGCCGTGAGGATGAGCCACCTTCCTCAGTTGTTGATGATTCACAATAAACTTTCGCAGGAAATGCATAGTCAGGAGAAAGATG